ACTCGAATGATGCAATCGAAGGGCAGCAACAGGAGCCAGAGCCTCCAGTCATTGTCAATGGCGAAGAGGAGTGGGAAGTGGACGAAATCCTCGACTCAAAAGTTATTCGAAAGAAGCTTTTCTACAAGGCAGCTTGGAAGAACTATCCACCGGATGAGACATGGTATACTGCAGAGAGCTTTGAAAATTCTCCAGAAGTTACCCAAGCATATCACAGAAAATACCCTCAGAGAGACTTGAGTTCAGTCATCCTGACAATCTAGGTTATACCTGATGCAAGGAAGCCGAATGTCGAATTGAACGGTGAAGGAATGCTCCTATGTAGTGGAAAGGGGCGAGAGCTCAAGAAAGAGAGGCAAGGAATAAATGAAGTTGAGTAGTCGAGTGTGTGACTTTCAACTAGAAGAGGGGACTACTTATCTTTTCTACACATGGCTATTATTATCTATGAAAACAGACCATTGGTGCATCAAAAGCTCGAGGTATGAGGAAATCTCCGCGTATTGCATTGGCGTACCAGAAACGGGCAAGCGCTCTATAAATGGGCTTGCGCGTACAATATGGCATTAATGGAGTAGACCAGAATTATTGTAACGGCGCAGTGCATACAGCTAAGAACTTTACTCGTATATCCCATGGCATTACACGTATTTGTGCGTATCTTGCGCGTATTAGGAAGTCTATACGGCGGCTATACGCGCATCGGATGACTATACGCGTATAAAAGAAATTAGTCCGACGCTAGGCTAAATTAATCTAGCACTATCATTCTGCCGCGAGTTGCCGCTCATCCCACCACAAATTATTGTCCCCCGCCACATCCGAGACGAGGCTGAGACAGGAGATGCATAACGAGCCCGATGGAAGGAAACCTTGTTGCGCCGCCGGTTCTGTCGACGCCAGACGCACATCTATTTGTAGACCCCACGCCCGTTTCGAAGAGCTCGTTCGGCGAAAGGTTGAGCGACGATGGTGTGCGGCACGTTTACGAGATTGAACGGACGGCAAGGGAAATCCGTGCTGGAAGATGGAGGCGAGTCGCTCTACAGTTTCCAGACAGCATGCTGAATGATGCGCCGAGGGTCTTCCAATTTTTACAGCAGGCGCTGAAAGATTTGCCCCCAAAGATCGCGGAAACAGACTCTGATGTGGAGGACGTGGCCAAGGCTGTGCAAGAGCTGGATATTGCGAAACAGAATATACCAAAGCAACCATCCGAAGATCGACTTTTTATACTGGCAGATACATCATATGGAGCATGTTGCGTGGATGAGATCGCAGCAGAGCATGTTGATGCCGACGTAGTGGTTCACTATGGTCGTTCTTGCCTGTCGCCCACGGCGAGGCTTCCTGTCGTCTATGTCTTTACGACTCATAAGCTTCCGATCGACCCCGTGACAGAAGCATTCCAGCAAACATATACGGAAAAAGATAACAAGGTCATACTCATGGCCGATATTACATACTCAGACCTTATACCCACGATACTCGAACAAGTAACGGCGCTGGGCTACACCAACGTCTTCGCACCATCTATTATTCATGACCCAGCGTCGCCTCTCCCAAACCGAACAGTACCTCCAACCGTCGGATCTGGGGAAAATAAGTTGCAAGATTACAGTTTATTCCATATATCTGAGCCTCCGCCGAGTCTGCTTCTTACGCTCTCGTCGCGACTCAAGTCCATGTACATATACCCGACCAATACTGCAAATCCACAGGCTCTAGAAGCCCAAACATCTCGCCTCTTGATGCGGCGGTATGCCACGCTCACATCTTTAAATACCTGTTCCATTTTTGGGATTCTCATAAACACTCTATCCGTTAAAAATTACATGCCGACTGTCGACGCGATAAAGGCACAGATTGCTGCGGCGGGAAAGAAGAGTTACACGTTTGTAGTAGGCAAAGTCAACGCTGCTAAGGTTGCCAACTTCTCAGAAATCGGGGGATGGGTTGTCATTGGGTGCTGGGAAAGCAGTCTACTTGATAGCACAGAGTTCTTCCGACCCATAATCACCCCTTTCGAGCTGGGTCTAGCATTGATGAGCGATGAGGAGCGGGTATGGACAGGTGAATGGAATGGGGATTTCAGCGACATTATTAACAAGCCGCTTGTACCCCGGACAGTTAAAAGGGATGCAGAAGAACCTATTGATGGAGACAATGAAGGCTCAGACGAAGAAGAAGACTCAGCTCCACCAGAATTTGACCTGCGTACTGGCCGTTATATAAGCCACAGCAGGCCAATGCATCCGCCGAAAACAACACAGTCAGCATCCAATGATATGACAGGTGAAACCGTGGCACGAACATCAAGCGCCCTGATGAAGCGTGCAAACGAGGACTTGGCTATGATCAACGGTACAGCAAGCCCTGGCGCGGAATATCTACGTTCCCAGCGAACGTGGAAGGGGCTTGGTAGCGATTTTGAGGTTGCGTATGATAATGATGACGGGCAGCTGGGTGCACAAGTGGAACAGGGTAGAGGGGGTGTCGCAAGAGGATATACCTTGGGTGGTGAGGGCGATAGACACTGATATAATGTACCCGTTTCAAGGGTTGGAATAAAATGCATCGGACATGGAATACCCTAGCATCAGCCATTCACGTCGGACAGAAAGTGTTTTATGAGCGCAAAATAAGCCATATTGGATGATACAGAGAGATATTTGGATGGCATTGTGATGACCAGAATAGAATGTCGATCCGGAATAATCCAACCCCCTACTTGTCCGCGACAAATTTTGATGGGATGAAGTGAGGTATCTCTCCTTTGAAAAATCAAGGCGGCTGTGTTCTTCATGCGCAGGAGAAGCTTCAAAATGATGAATGGAATATTTTGATTTTTGTTGTTTGATAGTCACAGGCATCATACGTCTGTCTGATTTGTCGGTTGTCAGGGCCGAACGTCCCCACGATGCCCCATCAGCCACCCACCCTTCTTTGGTCCATGCGTCTCTTCAGACCACCTGAAACTCGTCGGTCTCGGAAGCTGTCTCAACGTCACCCTAAAGTAACAGCAGCCGCTCCGCTATGGTTTAACAGTTCGTCCCGAAGCAATACCTCAATTTGCATTGAATTGTAATGACCGAACCCCAAGAACAGTTGGCCCCCTTGATAGGGTCGGCAACTAACAAGCACTTCACATCCTAGAGAGCCTTTAGGGATCTTACAGCCTGAACCACGATTTCCATACCTAGATGAAGAGATTACAGGCTACCATCAGGAAGTCGCAACGACGGTGGGGCCCTAAGATGGGGGAGCCTTAGTAACCCTAGTAGCTCCTTGAGACGCTTCAAGCCGTGGACATTTCCAAGGCACCTTAGAACATTCTCGTCTGATATCCCTAGCAACGCCCCCCACGTACCACGATGTAACGGGGTGCTGCTGTTATAGTACATGTGGTATATAAAGCGTGTTATGTGTATTCTAGGCAAGCTGGAATACTGTAGTCTTTGGCTTAGTAGTGTTACAATGGTCACGGAGGTCATGATGCTGTTACGGCTACGGTAACGTGATGCATGGTTACAGGACCACGTGACATGTGAGTCACAGGGGGCAAGCGGGGTAGGCTGCCATGTGACGGGGCTAATGGATAGTTGCAGAAACTAGTGGATATTGGATAGTTGAGCTACCACGAACTATCCTGAATATCTAGCTATCCGCCAACTATCCAGATTACCCATGAGGCACGACGCCACTATATAAGTAGATAGTATTTCCTTAGATAGGAGCTTCGTGCTCAACTCAATATAGTATTCTTTACAATACTGTAACGTGTTACTTGGAAAGCCTTTGTGTCTAATCCCCTGCCTCCTATGTCAAGTCAACCTTATGCAAGAAACCTCTGTGTCTTCTATCGTTTAGAAGCCAGCGTTACAGATACTAGTCTAGGTAAAGTAAGCTAGATTGAATCTAAAGAGAGAAGAAGAAGAAAGGAAGGAAGAAGGTAAGGCTATTCCTCATTATATACAGCTATGCGCTTAGCGATCCCTTGTAGTGACTACTATAGCTGCCTGTTCCCATAGTTGCTAGTGGCTGTGATGTACGATCGTAACACCACCTCCCCCCTAATTAAGATTGATCTCCTAATCATTTTTTGGTAGAAAGATTATGTGAGTTTAGGTGCGTTATTGAAATTTGCAGCAGGGTACCAAGTGTTGTCTAGTAGGTGGTTCTTCTATGCTGCTATATAGAACAACTTCTTCTATAAGAGTTTAGAATCAAGGATTTCTTCAACTTCCCATTCAAGTTCATCCTCTATGATAATTAGAGGCGATGGTTCATAGTGTTGGGCTTGTAGTGCATCATTCAAATCAAGTCTTAACAAGTTGCTATGAAAAACAGGATGTATCTTCATACTTTCTAGTAGTTCTAGCCAAACTTCCACTTGCCTAATTCGTTCTTGTCACGGTTCACCAAGGCATAGGGCGCCAGTTGGGTATTATGAATTAAACTCAATCTAGAGAAGAAAGGAAAGAGAAGAGGAGCACTCGAGCAGTGGCTCGATCTATATACAGCTATTGTGGAGTGAATTCTCTTTAGCGAGACCAATTCTGAGAATTCACTCCACAACTGAAAACTTCGCTCCAACCCCGGAAAGCTCCCCACACCCCTGAACCCCCACTCGAGCTGCAAGGCGCACTTGATATCGTAACACTACCCCCCCCCCTACTCCAGAGTTGATCTCCTGATCAAGAAATCCCATTTTCAAAAAAAAACAATTGTCTCCAGGCACTACCTGGCCTCAACCCCCGCGGCAGTTATCTTCTGCATCCTCTTCTTAATCGCAACGGCCGCGCACTTCTGGCGCCTATACAAGACTCGCGCCTGGTTCTGTCTGGCCTTTACCCTTAGCACACTATGTACGATCCTTCCACCCTGCCCCTCCACGTTCCGTGGCCTATTCCATTCCCTGATCCAAGTCTAACCTCTACGATAGTCGAAGTTATTGGCTTTGGTGCGCGTGCGGCAGCCCATGACTGCCCGGTGCACTCATGCCCTACATCATCCAGAACTTGTCTATTCTCCTCCCGCCTGCCCTCTTCGCAGCATCCATCTACATGACCCTCGGCCGAACTATCAACGCCGTGAATGGAGGGCACCTTTCTATCATCCGACCCACATGGCTCACCAAGATTTTCGTGGGCGGCGATGTCTTCTCTTTTATGGTCCAGGGCGGATGTGGTGGCATGATGGCTGGTGGGGATCCAGACAAGGTCAGGCTCAGCCAGAACATGTTTTGGCCGGTCTGGGGGTCCAACTCCTCATGTTTGGCCTCTTCTGGCTTACCGCCGTCTTCTTCCACCTTAAGATTCGCAAGAACCCGACAACGGAGAGCTACACCATTGACGCCAAATGGGAGCAGTATCTGGCTATGCTGTACATGGTCAGTGCATTGATTATGATAAGGAACATCTTCCGTGTTGCGGAATATGTGATGGGCAATGATGGGTATCTCCTGGCGAATGAGTGGACGCTGTGTGTGTTCACGTTGATGTTTGGTGTGACCGTGTTGTTTTACTGGACACCCAGGCGCCCTCGCGGCTGCGAAGATAAACGACGCAGAGCGTGTCAGCTGACAGCATGAGCTCGAAGCCTTGATCGGCTTACAGCATGGAGAATTGAGAGCGTTTTTCATTTGTCATCGTCTGTAGTTTTATTTGTTATGACGTTATTAGAGGATTATATAGTTGATTTTAAATAGCGAGATAGCACCCATTCGATATAGTTATCAAATAGAACATGATGCCAATAGTTTTTCAGAATGCCGTGTAAGAGAGTGCTTTGTAATCTTTTTATGAATTATAATTGATTCGACAATTGGTGGTTCGTCGTCTGTGAATTATTGTATTTTTGTTGCTCCGAACTAAATATATATTTCTAATGTAACTACCGAATCTTCATTTTCCAACTCCGACAGTGTTCCCCAAAATAGTATTAGTATTTGTGGTTTTCGAATAGTATTCGGCGATGAGCAGTATTCGGGCTAAAATTGGTGTATTCGGCGAGTATTTGCCAAAGACTCGAATACTATTCGAGTCCTTGGCAAGCACGGCCCAGGATGCCAAGCTACAAAGATTTTACGTTGAAAGCATGCATCCTGCATTATACGAAACTATAAAACCAGGAACTCCATTGCTACAGCGTGCTCAGAGTTCGCAGAGTCAGAGTTCGCAGGATTCGCAGGGCGCTGAAACGCCCAACAATTCTTTACTCCTCAAGTAGGAGGATCCGTTCTTGCCTCTCGATATAGAGAGTTATTACTTGCATTTATTGTATCTAATAACTTACCAATGAGTCTGGTTGATCGGCCTTCGTTTCGTCAGCTTATTCACCAGCTTAGCCCTTCAACGTTAGCTATATCAACAAGCTCCTTAATGCGCGATTTACACAAGACATTCTGCAACCACCGTATGAAGCTACAGATAGAACTCCAGGCTCATATAGTAAAGGGCGGATGGTTATCACTTACTAATTCATGGTCTGCAATGAATGGTGCAGAGCACGCTGCAATAACTGTTCATTGGATAAATAACGAATGGGTTCACTGGTGTCATACTGACATTCGTTGCACTCAGTTTGCTATCAAACTCAGGAGCAAACTTAGAAATCTCCTCCTCAAACCTACAAGTCACTATACATATTTTGGCTTATCACACCAACAACAAGAGCAATACTACTCAACGATTACTACAATCCTCTATGGTTCATTACACGTCATTTCTCCTTAGTTACTGGGCCAATATTACCACATAGCATATCTCTACAACCCTCTATGATTCATTACATGACATCACTCCTTAGTTACTGGGCTAATACTACATATGACATATCTCTATCAACTAGAGGCCTAGGAACATGAACAATAGCTCCAAAAGCTTCTACAACCCTCTATGATTCATTACACGTCATCGCTCCTTAGTTACCCACAAGATTGGTTAAGTTATGACATAATCTGTCTATAGGGGTACTCTGACCTTGGACCTCCTTTCACTTCCTATAGGCTAGGAACCTAGGAGATGGTTCTATGGGATTCTCTTACGTTGACTACAGTTACCAAGCCTGGTTAGTCATGGAAAGTATTGGAAAATGAGAGAACTACACTCCTTTAGCATAAATAGGATTGCCCTTGCCTTAAGAAAGGGCAAACAGACAATACAGTAAATCGACTATCACATACTTCCACGTCTTTTCCAAGCTTCCAAGCATTGATCTTGTTACTCCTTGTTTCTGAAAAGTCAGTGAGGTGCTAACCTCTGACTTATCCCTGAGTTCTCGGACTCAACATTTGTACAACTTGTCTAAACCACTCCACTACATCATACACCTGATTGCTGCGTTGTGGAATAGTCTAAGCTACGACCCTATGGCTCTTTTTCCTAAGACAGTGTGTTGTCTTAGTAAAATCATCCCTTCCTTGGGTGGCTAGATTCTCACATCTGGTGCACCCACCATTACACTGAGGAGTTTCCACAGATCCTTTTTCTTTGCAGCGCAATCAAAGTGTCGGCACCAGTCAAAGTAATTGACTTTTCCTTTGAGTTTTTGTGCTTCAGGCACATCGGACTCTTTGGTAGTCATTGTTGCTTGTTGGTGTGGTAGCTCTTATATGTTACGGCTATAGTAACATGATGTCATGGTTACAGGGCCAGGGCCTAGTAACGTGACGTGTGAGTCACAGTGGGAAGCGGGGTAGGCTTCCATGTGACGGGGCTAATGGATAGTTGCAGAAACTAGTGGATATTGGATAGTTGAGCTATCCACGAACTATCCTGAATATCTAGCTATCCGCCAACTATCCAGATTACCCATGAGGCACGACGCCACTATATAAGTAGATAGTATTTCCTTAGATAGGAGCTTCGTGCTCAACTCAATATAGTATTCTTTACAATACTGTAACGTGTTACTTGGAAAGCCTTTGTGTCTAATCCCCTGCCTCCTCTGTCAAGTCAACCTTACGCAAGAAACCTCTGTGTCTTCTATCATTTAGAAGTCAGCGTTACACCGTACTGAGAGAAGCTCAGTTGGTGATTATAAGCTGGTTTAAATACATGGAGCTGGTGGGGCTGATGTGCTGGCAGGCATGCAGGCTTCCTTTCAAACAGAGAAGCCGAATGCTGTTGAGCATGTAGTTCTATTCAAAGAGAGGAGCCGGATGCTGTTGAGCATGTAGGCTTCCATTCAAACAGAGAAGGCAAACGTAGGTTCCAGAGTCTCCTAAACCAACAATTCTTGGTGCCAGCAGTTTCATAGTATTCTTTAAGACAGTACTTACACCGCCAAACAGATGCTCCAGCCTTGTTAACAAGAACTGAATTAGTAGCTGGTGCATGATCCCATATCTTGGATGTTCGTGGGCGTTTTCTGCTCAGAAGGGAGCTAGAGGATTGGGTAAGCCCAAGAATAGATGATTCAGGAGATTCAGATTGCTCGCTGTGTAGCATTAACTCCATATCAAAAGGTTGTGATGCCATTGAGTTAATATACCATGCTCCAGATCGTAGAAATACAGAAATTTCATCATGATGAACGTTAAAAATCAGTTATATGTAAGCCTCAATTATGCCTCTAGGACGGACTATTAGACTGTCAGTCCTATGCCTTGAAATGGACGGACTGACTATTTAAGCATAGTTAGGACGGACTACCAAGCATTGGTAATTCCCAAGACGGACTGTTAGACAGACTATTAGACTGTTAGACTGCTAAACTACTGGACACACTGCGCTATAGCCACTGGAATCAAGCCTGTTACTCTTACAATTGATATACCAGTACGATGGAACTCAACATACCATATGCTTCAAAATGCATTGTCAATGAAGGCACCAATCACAGCACTTTGTGCATCACAGACTCTTGATATAAGCATGCGTGATATCCAGATTTCTTCGAAAGAATGGGAATTACTTCATGCTCTTGCAGAGTTCTTTGAGATTTTTAAGCGTATCTCAGAAAAGGTGCAAGCAGATGGGTATCCAACACTTAACTACTGTGTTCCATATTATCTACGACTAATGGATAAAATTAAGAAGATCAAGAAGACTGTTAAGCATACATGTATCAACGAAGCTTGTACTGCTGAATTCAACAAATTAGACAACTATTTCTCACTTTCAACAAGCCAATGGTCAAGCCATTCAACAGCTGCAACAATATGTGATCCTCGTTTTAATTTTAGTATATTTGACTTCTATTTGCCTGAAAGCTTTTATAACACAAGCAAAGAACGAGCAAGAGCACAGTTTGCAGCTTGTTATAACAAGTATAAAGCACGGGACAATGATATTCGAGCAGAGGAAATGGATGCTATGCTTGATAACGAGGATGAGGATATACCTCAAGAAGTGGACTCTGAGGATGAGATGTTTAAGCATCGAAAGCCTATACTTCAAGAGGTTGAATGGAGACGGTGGCTTAATGAGCCAGGAGTTGATAAGCCTGAGACTAATATCCTTAAATATTGGCAAGCAAAGCAGTATCAGTATCCAATAATTGCACAAATAGGTCGAGACTATTTAGCAATTCCAGCAACATCAGCAGCATCAGAACGGGTCTTTACCCTGGTCTTTAGCCAAGGAGCTGACATTGTCACAAAGAAAAGGAATAGACTATTGCCTTCAACAATTAGATATTTACTATGTCTACGGGATTGGGGGATAATTGTCGACGATGAGGATGTCGAAGATGCAAGTGAAGATATAGGTTAGGCATAGTTAAATATTTTCCATAGTTTTCAATTCTATACACTCTATTTAAGCCTCAAAGATTCGAATCATGAGTCGAATTAGATTCGAGTCATGATTCGGCGAATACCTCAAAAATATGAATGATTCACCAAATCGCTTAATCGTATTCGGGTGGTGATTCGCCGCACACTGCTGAGCGGCGCATATCACCTAGCGGCGCACTTTTTACACTTTTCCGCCCGAAAAGCTGCTACTCTCTACGAGGTACCTGAATCATCTGTGCGCCGCAGAATGAACGGCCAGTGTATTAAACAGTATTAGCGATACGGGCTAGGTACCCCCTGAATTGGAGGCAGCTCTCTGACCGCTAGATTCTGATAATCGCCGCGTTATGGTTATGACATGCGGCATTTGTGGTTGTCTCTGGCCCTCCTCCAAGCGGAATTGTTTATTGACGAACATCAAACTCTGGGAAATCAACGCTCGCAAAGGCAGTAGTTGCCAAGTTTCCATTGTTCATCCGCCTCTCCATCGACGGTTACATCTACAACAAGTATGGCGCTTATGACAGAGACTACCCCGCATAAAAGTACAGCTAAGATCAAGATGAAGCCAACGAAGCACTGAAGGTGCAGCTGCAGGATATTCTCCAGGGCGTCAAGAATGATGTTGTAGTGGACTTATCTTTTGCTTTTCGTGCATCCTGTGATGAATATAGGTCGATTGTGGACGAAGGTGGAGCCCGAGTGGTCCTCGTAATACGAGGACCACTCGGGCTCCACCTTCGTCCTAGAGCTGAGGCGAAGGATTGAAGAGCGAGCCGTAACAGGATTAGACGCAGACTCGACGTTCAAAATGACACCGGAAATTTTGATCGGTATGTCAGTGGGTTCGAAAAGCCAGTTGGCGAAGGCGAAATTGTGGTTCAACGTTGATAATGAGGAAATCTGGATACAACGCGATGATATGAAACAAATTGCACCAAAAATCAACCTCCATGTACAACCATACCCTTGAACATTACGTCTCCTCGTCGGCTGGCCTGACCGGCTTGTCTTCCCGACTTTCATGACCCTTGAAGACCGCCAACATACCCAAATCATAAATCACCTTTAGAGATCCAGCCATTACAAATACAGTCCATGCCAGATTATGATCAAAGAGCACTCCTGTGAGTCCGGGGCCAAGCCCGGACGTAAACGTCTTGACAACATTTAAAATCCCCATTATTGCCGTACGCTCGTTTGGGAGGATAGTGGCAGCAAGGAAGGCGGACCGAGGCGCCACATCCATAGATTGGGTGCAGGAGCGTAGGATAAGGAAGGTCAGAGCAACAGGCATCTGAGAGGGAATTGCGATGACGGCGACAAATATAGCCGAAGGGAGGTGAGTGAATACCATGGTCTAATATTGTGCCGTGTTAGCCGTGGGACGTGGGTTTGGAAACGGAGACTTACCCTAACATTGCCAATTCTCCTTGCAAGAGAAGCTGCACCTAGAGTTGAAAGGGCAGCGATAATGTTTGTAGTAAAGAATATAGTCCCAAGGAAGCCATCTGTGATGCCAAACTTCCTCTGGAAAAAGACGGTGACCCACGAGCTGCACATGATGTCAGAATTAACTCCCAATGGTAGTGCTGATACTTACAGCGGAATCAGACCACTCGCAAAGGAGTCAAGGCCGAACAGGAGACACAACTGCAATAGTACAGCCAAGCTTTCGGGGCTAATGTGAGAGAAGACCCCAAAGAACGACCGACGGGGCTGGCTTGGTTCTGCGGCACCTAACAGAGGAGCTTCTTCGTGGGGGCGCTCCTGAGGTGGCTTAGGCTTGGCCTCGCAATCCTTGCTCAGAGCAAGGACGAGTAAAAGTTTCATAAGACCAAACACGGAGTACGCGAAGAAAATGACTCTGTACGCGCGGATATCATCCCACCCGTCCAGTGCTTTTAGTACCTCTACCATCCATCCGCAGACAAGTATCCCGAATGCATAGCCCCCAGTCCCGATTAGAGTGTACCAAGCGAATATATCCGCTCGTACTTCTTTTTCTGTCAGATGCGCAAGAGTTGACTCTTCAATCGCACGGAATGGGCCAACCTCTTTTCCACTAGCGCTTATTAGCAATGACTATTTACGACGCGACCTGAGATTTACCTTGGGCTGATGACTCCAAATATAGCAGCCGCGAGCAGCACCCAGTAGTTACTGCTGAGACCGAAGGCAATGCCACTTCCAGTCATCATCACGGCACCGAGCGCAAGGACATCCTTTCGTCCTATCCGGTCGGCAAACATGGTGAGGAAGAGGCTAATAAAAACATCCCCGAAAAGAGTCAGAGTCATGAAAACTCCAATCTGCTGATCTGAGATGCCCAATTCCGATAGATACAGCACAAGGACTAGCGTCGTTGCTCCATAGGCGAACAGCCTGACGAACCGTTGGATACATAGCAGCTTAACATCAAGGGGAGAGTTCCATATCGACAGAAGTCCGAGCTCTCTCACCACCGACGTGAAGTGGCTGCGGGATGCCATGATTCTGCGTTGCAATGGGTGTAGAGAGGGTTGACTTCATTTTGGAAGGAATATTTAAGGCGGCACGGCCAATTCGGCGATTGCTAGGGATTCAGCGGACTTCGGCCTGGATGACGGAAGGTGGGGCAAGCGTCTAGAATATGAGGACCGCGTACTTTTCAAAACCTGTTTCGATAAGATGTAGAGCACCTTTCGTTATCTTTTCCCTGGTGTTCTTCGCATTTGACGAATTCGCCGTCCTTAGAATGTCCGAATTGGCATGCGATGGCATGCGAATCATTACAAGTTTCATATTTCGTTTATTCATTATTCTATGAACATAGATGAGAAGACGGAGAGTGAGAATGAGACCCTGTGGGGGTGCAGTGAGTACGGTTGCCAAGATAGACTAGTAAGGTGTTCGGATCAGATAAGATCAATCCCCAAACGCTTTTAAGATGTTCTTTTGTAACTAGGTCTATGAGTCACGTGAATAAGTTCATTTCATGTCAAGATGACTCAGCCAGTGACTCACGTGCAGCCTTTCCACCAAGCGCAAACTCAAAAAATGTTAGCCAGACTCGTCCCCCTCTTCTCATTGGCTACCCCACCAGCGCACAATTCGTGATTCACGACAAGCGGCGACGACCTTAAGAACTGCTTGGAGAACCGCTATCCTCGACAACAACTTCCATACGTCCTCCATCAGCGTCCAACATGAGACCTATTCTTCTTCAAGGACACGTACGTTGAATCACCTCGCCACTTCACCTGGAGCCAGCTGCTAACAAAGAACACAGGAGCGTGCGCTCACCCAAATCAAGTATGCTCCCCCGACAATGCGATACGCCACACTCTGAGCTCTACTGACTGCTCTCTAGATATAACCGCGACGGTGATATAATCTTCTCGACCGCCAAGGATCAGCACATCTGCGCGTGGTACGCACACAACGGCGAGCGCCTCGGCAGCTATCACGGCCACCAAGGAGCCCTCTGGACCATCGATGTCGACCCCACCAGCACTCTTCTCGCCTCTGGCGCGGCCGATAACACGGTCAGGCTATGGAATGTCAAGACTGGCAAGTGCTTGAAGACCTGGGACTTCAACACTGCTGTCAAGCGTGTAGAGTTCTCCGAGGATGGATCACAATTACTCGCCGTCACCGAGATGCGCATGGGTTTCCTAGGCACCATCGTCGTCCTGGATATCAACCTGGATGTTAACGCGGAGCAGCGCGACGAGAAGGCGATGACCATCACATGTGAGGAAAGCAAGGCTACGGTTGCTGGATGGAGCTTCCTGTCGAAGTACATCATCGCAGGACACGAAGACGGAACCGTTTCGCAATACGATGCGAAGGCGAGTCAACCCGTACTTAGTGCGACGGGCAAATGCTGACTTTGAGATAGACTGGCGAACAACTGGACAATGTGCAGGTGCACGAGCCAGATGCACAGGTCACCGATCTGCAATGGGCCCCTGACCGGACGTACTTCATCACCGCGTCAAAAGACAAGACTGCCAAGGTACGACAGCACGCTCGCCTCCCCATCACTCTCCTGCTCACATTTCCAGATCGTCGATGCCACCAACCTCCAAGTCATGAAGACCTTTGTCGCCGATACCCCCCTTAACTCCGCCTCCATCACCCCCAAGAAAGACTTCGTCATCCTCGGTGGCGGCCAGGCTGCCATGGACGTCACCACCACCTCGACACGCCAAGGTAAATTCGAGGCTCGCTTCTACCACAAGGTGTTCGAGGAGGAGATTGGCCGCGTGCGTGGCCACTTCGGCCCGCTCAACACGGTCGCCGTCGACCCGAACGGAAAGGGTTATGCGTCGGGCGGTGAGGACGGGTACGTGCGTGTGCACCAGTTTGACAAGGCCTACTTTGACTTCACGTACGAGGTTGAGAGACAGCAGAAGCAACAGATTGGTGCTTGAAGGGTTGGGATGAATGACATGGGTGGGCCTGGGTTGGAGAGAGTAGGGTTGCATCGGCGGGCGTTTAATAAGTGCTTGGGGCTACACTGTGGTTAGGATTCCTCAGCTAGACATGAAGGGCTGTTTCAAAATGTGTGTGGAGAGTTGCTGTGTGACGATGAGTGACCGCTAGAGTTGGAAATCTGTCTCGGGGCGTCGTGCCAATGATGTGAAGATAGTAGGAGATGCAGCCGTTTGACACGTGTGGGTGTCTAGGTTAAATGCACCAACCCTCGCTTGGATACTCCGTATATTATGAGGGCAAAAGATTTGTGTAAATCGTGGAAATGTTCAGTCACGTGACATGCACTGTTTGACAGGGAATAATAAACACTGTGTTATAATATAAGTTAGCCGACTATAAGAACTACAGCAGAAGTGGATTGATTCACTTTTGCTAGTTCAACATATACTCTGTCAAGCCAGTCACGTTACTTGGTGCCTTGGTATTGAGGGGCTTTCACCATGGCTGCGCGACGGACTTGGACACCCGCGACACTTTCACAGGCACGACAGCAGCTGCAACCACTTGGACGACCGAGGTCGACCAGTCTCAGGCCGCGAGGCTGCCACAAAAGTTATTTCTTCTGTGATTATCCAGCGCCTCCTCCTACTGTTTCTGGTCGTACGCGCCCGTGTCAGTTCTGCCAGCATTATCCCCATTACCCCTCCTCATCACCCGTCTCACCCTCCTCAGCTGGTCGCCGTGGCTCCCTTCCTCCCCCCCTCAGCCTTGCGAGCTGTTACCCCTCTCCGCACCGGTCTCGGATTCATCACTGCCCAGCCGATCCTACCAAGGGCTGCATCCCTGCGCTACTCGTCCTCGTCCTCGTCCTCATCCTCATCTAACCCTCCTCTCTCCCTAAACCTGAGCTTCATCACCAGCAAACCCACCCGACGACTCTTTTCCTCCTCTTCAGTCGATATGGTTGGCATCAAGATTGATGGCAATGCCATCGCCAAGGAGATCCGTGAGAAGCTGCACGCTCAGATTGACGAGCAGCTCAAGACCAACCCGCGATTCCACCCCTCGCTGAAGATCATCCAAGGTGTGACACGACGATCCAGGGCGATAAGGGAATCTGAGCTGACCTTTGTGTGAATAGTGGGCGACCGCTCCGACTCCAGCACCTATGTCAAGATGAAGCTGAAGGCTGCCGAAGAGGTATGACCCCGCCAAGGACAGAAAAATACCACCATACTGACTATCACGTAGGCCGGCATCAGCTGTGAACTCATTCACTTCCCCGAGTCGACCACTGAGGGCGAGCTCATCGACCAAATCGATGTCCTGAACAACGACACGACCGTCCACGGTATCCTCGTTCAGCTGCCAGTCCCAAAGCACATCTCGGAGTACTCTGTCACCTCCTCCGTAGCAAACGACAAGGACGTTGATGGCTTCGGCGCAATCAACATTGGCGAGCTAGCCAAGCGTGGCGGTGTCCCGCTCTTCACCCCGTGTACGCCAAAGGGTGTCATGAAGCTTCTGGAGTCGACCGGTGTGGATCTCAAGGGAAAGAAAGCTGTTGTCCTAGGACGCAGCGACATCGTTGGCAGCCCAGTCAGCTACCTCCTCAAGGATGCTGATGCGACCGTCACTGTCTGCCACAGCGCGACCCAAAACATCGAGAGCTACGTCAAGGAGGCCGATGTTCTTGTCTCTGCCATTGGCAAGGCCCACTTTGTCAAGGGCGAGTGGATCAAGCCAGGCGCCATCGTGATTGACGTCGGCACCAACTTCATCCCCGATGAGACCAAGAAGTCGGGCCAGAGATTGGTGGGAGATGTCGACTACAATGCCGCCGTCGAGGTCGCCTCGCACATCACCCCCGTCCCCGGTGGAGTCGGTCCCATGACCGTCGCCATGTTGCTGCAGAACGTCGTTGACGCGGCGACTTCCTCCTTTGCGCGCGAGAGGGCCCGCCGTATCTTGCCACTCCCTCTCAAACTCCGCACTCCAGTCCCATCTGATATCGCCATCTCGAGGGCGCAGCACCCCAAGCAGATCACCCGTGTCGCGGCTGACGTCGGCATCCTTGGTGGAGAGCTTGAGCCATACGGAGCGTACAAGGCCAAGGTCGACCTGTCCCTGTTGAAGCGCCTCGAACATCGCCGCAATGGCCGCTACGTTGTCGTTACTGGTATCACGCCAACTCCTCTTGGTGAGGGCAAGTCCACGACAACCATGGGCGTAACGCAGGCGCTCGGTGCCCACCTTGGTCATATCGCCTTTGCCAACGTCAGGCAACCATCCCAAGGCCCAACCTTTGGTATCAAGGGTGGTGCCGCTGGTGGAGGCTACTCCCAGGTCATCCCCATGGATGAGTTCAACCTTCACTTGACTGGCGACATCCACGCCGTTACCGCCGCGAACAACTTGTTGGCCGCTGCCATCGAAACGAGAATGTTCCACGAGAACACCCAGAAGGATGGCGGACTCTACAAGCGTCTCGTCCCAGTGAAGAAGGGCAAGCGCGAGTTCCAGCCCATCTGGCACCGCCGCCTCAAGAAGCTCGGCATCGACAAGACCAACCCGGATGATCTCACCCCAGAGGAGATTACTCGCTTTGCTCGCCTGGATATCGATCCTGCTACCATCACCTGGAGACGTGTCCTCGATGTCAACGACAGACATCTTAGAGGCATCACTGTCGGAACTGCGGCGACCGAGAGAGGCCAGACCCGCAAGACCGGCTTTGATATCTCGGTGGCCTCGGAGTGTATGGCCATCCTTGCCCTCAGCAACAGTCTTGCTGATATGAGGGAACGCCTCGGCAGAATGGTTATTGGTACGTCGAGGAGCGGCGAGCCAGTCACTGCCGATGACCTGGGTGCTGGTGGAGCCCTGGCTGCCCTAATGAAGGATGCCATCAAGCCCAACCTCATGCAGACTCTGGAGGGCACACCGGTCTTTGTCCACGCCGGCCCATTCGCCAACATCTCCATTGGTGCCTCGTCTGTCCTGGCCGACAAGCTCGCCCTGAAGCTTGCCGGTACCGAGGCTGACGAGGACCATAACGCAAAGGCTGGTTTCGTCATCACCGAGGCTGGCTTTGACTTCACCATGGGTGGTGAGCGCTTCTTCAACATCAAGTGCAGATCTTCTGGCCTTGTTCCCGATGTCGTTGTCATCGTCGCCACTGTCCGCGCACTGAAGGTGCACGGTGGTGGGCCACCAATCGCCCCAGGTGCCGCCCTTGACAAGGTATACACAGAGGAGAACGTCGATATCCTGCGCAAGGGTTGCGTCAACCTCAAGAAGCACATTGAGAACGCGAAGCAATACGGTGTACCAGTCGTTGTCGCCATTAACAAGTTCGAGACCGACACCGAGGCCGAGGTCCAGGTTATCCGCGAGGAGGCCATCGCTGCTGGTGCCGAGGATGCCATCCCCGCCAACCACTGGGCTGAGGGTGGAGCTGGTGCCGTTGACCTTGCTAAGGGTGTCATTGCTGCTTCTGAGAAGGAGAAGGACTTCAAGCTTTTGTACACGACCGAGGGAACCGTCCAAGAGCGCATGGAGGCCATCTGCAAGAAGATGTACGGCGCCGACAAGGTCGAGTTCAGCGAGCTCGCTCAACAAAAGGTTGACACATACACGAAGCAGGGCTTCGGAAACCTGCCCATCTGTATTGCCAAGACTCAGTACTCGCTGTCTCACGACCCCGAGCTGAAGGGTGCCCCAACCGGGTTCACCGTGCCCATCCGCGATGTCAGGCTGGCAGTTGGTGCTGGGTACTTGTATGCCCTCGCCGCTGATATCCAGACTATCCCTGGCCTGCCAACAGCTCCGGGTTATATTAACGTCGACATCGACACGGAGACTGGCGAGATTGACGGTCTCTTCTAGAGTACGCAGGGGTACAATCTTTCAACAAATCCTTCAACAATTTCCATCATTCAAGATAGTTTCCATGTTCCTTTGGAATCTAACGTTGTGTATATTGGTCACGCACCTTAACGGGCGTAGATAGCGTGGTGTGGCATACTTCAACATGGGCGCTCGGTGTTAGTGGATGCATTTCTTAGCAAGAGTTGCTATGGGGCAATCTAGACGGGGTTAGGCAAAAAATAGGTTTAGAATTAAATGAGTTATGTTTGCAATTGAGGCATGTAGTGTGATATTACACCCCCCATGTCTGGGTGCACAGCATATATGATGCTTCACCCATCTAGTACAATAACTGCCCATCAGGACCTAGACACCCCTGGCCCTTCCCTTAGAAACGCCTGACTCCTGATATATCCTTCCGAACCTCCAAATCAACCGAAATCCTTCCCACTCACTCAGCGAGCCTGTAGCTGACCAGAGTATCGACCTTGTGATTGCTCGTGCTAAAGCTCCTCAACTGCACCTTCTCGGCATTCTTAATCTCCTTCGCGTCGCTGTCACCCCATTCCATTGGCACCTCGGAGTCGGCGTCTGCGTAGACAAGCACGTTGAAGGTGCAGTCTCCTTCGAGTTGCGGTAGGAAGGTAACCGAGGCCGTAATCTGCCGGAAGATGGATTGTATCTCGTCTTGAATCTCCTTCTCCGTCTTTTCCGCAGCGGGCTCAGATCCTCTGTCTCTCGTTAGCTTCTGTTCCCGTTTATGGCTTGTGGATGCTTACTCGGGCACGGCGTTCTCTTGGTCGGCTGCCTTCTTAGATGATGACGATGACTTCTTCTTGTTGAAGATTTGGACGTCAAATTGCCAGCGCTCCATATGCTCGCCAGTGTCCTTGCTCGTAATCACGACAACCAACTTGGAGATCTTGCCTCCGACCATCCATTTGTCGAGCTGCGACATAATCTTTTTGATGTACGCTTTGACTTGGTCATCCGAGGAGACCAGCATGTTGAGGCCATATTTCTTGACTCTGTGATGAGTTAGCAGTGTCCATCGTGGTGAGGGGGTTGTATTTACGCGCTGAAGTCTTCGGCGGGGTAGACGCCTCTCTGGAACAGGATTGTGTTGATCGAGTATTGGAAAAACTCGGCGACCAGCCTCGACGAGCCTTTCAGCTTGAGCTTGTGCACCTTGGATTTATCCTTTGCTTCAGACATGATGCCCGTTTCCTTGATGTTCCGTTTGGTTTGCGAGAGTGTATATGTCATCGTTGCCGCGGGAACGTCGGGCCGGCGCGGAATAACTACCGCGGCAGGGTCGAGAATTATTCGAGACGACCGCCCAAGGGACTAGCATGACAAAAGCACAAATCTCGTTACCAGCAGCCCTTAATGCGGCGATGTCTCCGCCCTTTCATCAGGCTCATTAGCTCACCGCGTAGTCGCGATGGCACCCGCCTGGCCTTCAATCGCACATTTACGACATCCATAGCACGGTGGGCGGCGCCCCCTCCGAAGCCCAAGACCGACTTGGAACGGCGAATCGATGCGATACCCCTCGAACGGTTCCGCAATTTTTGTATCGTGGCGCATGTCGACCATGGCAAGAGCACGCTCAGCGACCGGCTCTTGGAGCTTACCGGCACGATCGAGAAGGGAGGCAACAAGCAGATTCTAGACAAGCTCGACGTCGAGAGGGAGAGGGGGATTACTGTCAAGGCGCAGACATGTAGCATGTTGTATAATTACAAGGGCGAGGACTATCTACTTCATCTCGTCGACACGCCAGGCCACGTCGACTTTCGCGCAGAGGTCACCAGGTCATATGCGAGCTGTGGAGGGGCTTTGCTCCTCGTGGATGCCAGTCAGGGCGTGCAGGCGCAGACTGTCGCAAACTTTTATCTCGCCTTTTCCCAAGGCCTGACACTCGTCCCCGTTGTGAACAAGATCGACCTGCCCTCTGCCGACCCCCCGAGGGCCCTTGAGCAGCTCGAGAGCATGTTTGAACTGAAGCCGGAAAATACGGTTCTCATCTCCGCCAAGACCGGGCTTAACGTCGAGGAAATCCTGCCAAAGGTCATCGAACGAATCCCGGCGCCTGTTGGGGATCACCTGAAGCCATTGCGGCTGCTTCTTGTAGACTCTTGGTACGATAATTACAAGGGTGTTATTCTACTCGTCCGAATATTCGACGGCACAATCAAAGCTGGGGATCACGTTGTGTCGTTTGCGACTGAGCTCAAGTATATTGTTGGAGAGGTTGGGATCATGCATCCACTGGAGACGCCGCAGAAGTCGCTTCGCGCGGGTCAGGTGGGGTATATCTACTTTAATCCTGGCATGAAGCAGAGCAAAGACGCCAAGGTGGGTGATACGTTTACGACGGTCGGATCTGAACGTTTGGTGGAACCGTATCCAGGCTTTGAAGAGCCGAAGTCGATGGTTTTTGTTGCAGCATTTCCCGTTGATCAGGGAGAGCATGGCCATCTCGAGGACAGTATCAACCAAATTGTCCTCAATGACAGGAGTGTGACGCTACAAAAGGAGTCGTCTGAAGCACTTGGCGCAGGGTGGCGTCTTGGGTTTTTGGGAACGCTTCACTGTTCCGTGTTTGAGGATCGACTGAGGCAGGAGCACGGAGCGAGTCTCATCATCACTCCGCCGACGGTGCCATTCAAGGTTATCTGGAATACTGGCAAGGAAACCATCATCCAAAATCCGGCATTGTTTCCTGATGGCGACGAGGGTTCTTCGAAGGTCGCGGAGCTGCAGGAACCATACCTGGAGGCGACCATTACAATGCCTGAGGAGTACCTTGGCAAGGTTATTGAGCTTTGCGAAGTCAATCGGGGGATACAGCAGAGTTTGAACTTCTTTACATCGACACAGGTTATTCTGAAATATCTCATCCCGCTAGCGCAGCTTGTTGACGACTTCTTCGGAAAGCTTAAAGGAGCGACGCGGGGATATGCCTCTCTCGACTATGAGGATGCTGGGTGGAGGAGGAGTCAGATTGTCAAGATGCAGCTTTTGGTGAACAAGGAGCCGGTGGATGCCGTCTCGCGGGTGGTGCACACGTCACAGGTGGATAGGGTCGGCAGGCAGTGGGTGAAGAAGTTCAAGGAGCATGTGGATCGCCAGATGTACGAGGTGATCATCCAGGCGATGGCAGGGAGGAGGATTGTGGCGCGAGAGACGATCAAGCCGTTCCGAAAGGATGTGCTGGCGAAACTGCATGCGAGTGATATTTCGCGGCGGAAGAAGCTGTTGGAGAAGCAGAAGGAGGGGAGGAAGAAGCTGAAGGCGGTGGGGAATATCACGATTCAGCAGGAGGCTTTCCAGAAGTTCTTGGCCAAGTAACGTAAGTCGTGGCGTAACGCGGGGGATGGCGTAACGCGGGGAATTCACCCCGCCGACTTCTGATAACTGTGAATAACTCAACAATGGTTCGCTGTAAAAGCCTGGGTGTTGCTGAGCGTGAAACTTTAATAGCCCAGGCAGTATTAGACGTCCAATCTAAGAAGTATAAGAGTGCATATCACGCTGAGAAAGTGCTGGGGCTGCCGAAGAGTTCAGTGACGCGACGCGTCAATGGAGGTTTGACACGCTCCCAAGCCCGCCAGAAACAGCAGAATTTATCAGGCGCGCAAGAACAGATACTTCTAAAGTGGATTAAAAACCTAACAATCAGCGGCTATTCTCCAGGGCATCGGTTGTTGAAGGAAATAGCTGAAGAACTCCGGTCGCACCGGTCACTCAATTTTGACGACGCGACGCCAAACTTACTTCTACCCCAACCACGATTTTCCCTCGGTCGCGACTGGGTACCACAATTCATACAACGACATCCCCATCTACAGGTCGCTATTGGGCGACGGATCGAAACTGTACGCATGGACGGTGCAACAAAACCAGTGCTTACGGCATGGTTTAACGCATACACCAAGGTGGTTCAAGAGTTTGGAATCACGCAAGAGAACACATATAACATGGATGAATCCGGATTTTCGATTGGGACAATGGAATCTACTCGAATTATACTTGATTCAACGCTTCGTACGAAGCATCAAGCGCATCCTGGCCGTCAGGAATGGGTTTCGATGGTCGAATGCATCTGCGCAGATGGAACCATCCTCCCACCCCTCGGGATCTTTAAGGGCAAGAACGTTCTCCAATCATGGATTCCGCCCGCAGTCATCGACCAGTGGTTCTTCTCTGCGAATACAAAAGGCTGGACAAGCAACCTTCATGGGTTGGAGTGGTTAAAACGCATCTTCGAGCCAACAACACGTACAAAAGCAGATGGTCAGCACCGGCTTCTTATATGTGATGGCCACGACTCACACATTAGCGGGAGTTTCATTGCGCATTGCATGCAGAACCATATTGTATTACTGATACTTCCCCCTCATACATCGCACTTACTACAACCACTGGATGTTGCGATATTCGGCCCGCTAAAAAAGCGTCTGACAGCAGCGCTGTCCCCACTCAACCAAGCGCAACTTGCGCGCATACAGAAGTATGAATGGATGGAGGCATACATCCAGGCACGGCTTGATGTATGCAACCATCAGAACATTGAGTCAGCATACCGTGGCGCTGGCTTGTTTCCTTTTAATCCCCAGCGAGCATTGCGTACGCTGCTCAATGCTGAACCATCAGTCGAGGCTGACCGACCAAAAACACCACATCAGTATGATATTTTTGACCGAGTCTTTATCAACAGCTCCCCCCCAGATGGGATGACCTTACGCTCTGCAAATGCGCTTCTTACAACTACGATTAATAGTGGTGGGGTGCTGTCAACACCAGTGCGGACGTACATCCAAAAACTCACAGTTGCGTCAGAGCAACTTCGAGCACGCAGCATTGTCCACCAACTCGATGCCAACAACCTGCGATCAGTTATAAAGCAACGTACGGTACGTACGAAGGGGAAAAGGGTTATTCTGAAGGGTCACTTTCATGTTTCTACGCAAGAGTTGTGTGATGCGGTGATGGAGGCGGAAAAGGCGACACATAACCCAAGTAAGAAAAAGCGCAAAACAAAGGATAAGAACGCCTCCTCAGACATTGAAATTGACGAGTATATTGAGGAAGAAGCAGGGAAACAATCTAAGAGTGATGGTGGATCATGTATTATCGTTGATTGTAGTTAAATTTACAGATTTGTTGTGTTCTCTTCAAATTTCCACCGCGTTACGCCATCCCCCGCGTTACGCCACGACTTACGTTAGTGTTTGTAGTATAATGTACGAAGTATATATCTAGCCCGTTGTGCCCGAGGTCGTGTGTGATTGGTTGGTGGTGAAACCTGTATCACGGGAGGTTCCGTAAAGTCCGGTCCTCGCCTTATAACTTGGTTATCATACTGAGACGAGAATTATGATTCTATAATTCGCAAAGGCCGATTTCGTTTATAATATATCGAGACGGATGTCAACGACGGTCTATAATTCGAACGGTGGAGGGGGTAGAAGGAGACCCATTGCGGCTTTCCTGTTGCTTCAATCCCTTCGAAGGTGACGGTGCTGTCGTTTCCGGAGATGCCCGTACGGATGACATTGTCGCTTGCAAGGTTCTGGAAATTAGTGTTCTTTTGGAGGGGGGTGGGAGACTTACTGCTTCCTGCTTGAAGGCTTTGCCGGTTGTCTTTGCGTTGATTCCGCGGTATTCTTTTCCTTTGATGGCCTTGTATTCTCCGGATTTGCTATGGCGGTTAGCAGGATCGTTTAAGGGGGTGGGAAGCTTACACGTCGAGATCATAGACGTCGTGCCAAACAATGTCGAGCGTCTTCTTTTTGTCGTTGATATCCATTGGCAGCCAGATGTATCGGCTTTCCCAGAGGGAGTTGGAGTCCCACTGTCCTGTTAGCTGGGGAATATGAGAGGTGGGGGAGTCTTACCTAATCGCCAAGATAGAGATACGTGGAGCTACTATAATCTCCTATGTTATAGACTAAGGCGGACACAAGAGATCCTAGCGGCTGAGATGTTCGCGAAATTTCAACCGAGGACGCTTGGTCTCTCTATTGCCCTTTGCGTTGTGTAAGCCGTGCTAGAAATACTGGCCTGATAGACACAAACTCATATTTGGCATTATATAAACATACCCCCTACGTTACAATCCAAACTCCCCCCTTCCCATTACCCCTGTTATCTTATATACCTTACCGCTTCCATCCCCCCACTGTTACGACGGAACAAGAAGGCTGGCCAACTACAGGACAGGAAGGAGGGAGGTCGCATGAGACCGGCCCTGGTACCTGGAGGGGCAGCGGGGAATAGTAGTTCCGAAAGTATCACGTGATGGACTCGCAGGATGATGAGAAGAGTCCTAAGAGTCCAGGACTCCGAGGACTCGAGTGAGTTCCCAGGAGTCCACTAGGCACGTGACGGACTCGCAGGATGATGAGAAGAATCCTAAGAGTCCAGGACTCCGAGGACTCGAGTGAGTTCCCAGGAGTCCACTAGGCACGTGATGGACTCGCAGGATGATGAGAAGAATCCTAAGAGTCCAGGACTCCGAGGACTCGAGTGAGTTCCCAGGAGTCCACTAGGCACGACGCCACTATATAAGTAGATAGTATTTCCTTAGATAGGAGCTTCGTGCTCAACTCAATACAGTATTTGTTATATACTAGTAACGTGTTACTTGAAGCCTTTGTGTCTGATCCCCTGCCTCCTCTGATAAGTAAACCTTTACGCAAGAGAACCTCTGTGTCTTCTATCGTTTAGAAGTCAGCGTTACACCCACCCCCCCCCATCACCCCACGCTCACCCCATCCCCCTAATGCTGCCCCGCCAACTCATGCTTTGCCCTCGAATCTAACTCAACTACATACCGACTATCCATCTCCGCCGGCACCATCCCTGCAGGATAAAACTTCCCATCCGCCCCAACCCCCCCAACCACCCTCCTCTTGTCCGCCCTGCACCGCCGAACCCCGAACACGAGCTATTTCCAGCCCCTAGGGATTAATTTCCCAGCCCTCCCAATGGGGACTTTATGAAGGATTCCGGTCGGCGAGGCTGAAGCCGAGGCTGAAGGGGATGGATGGTAGGGGTGGGGGGATCCTTCATCTGGACTGTATGAAGGATTCTGGTCGGCAAGGCTGTAGAGGAAGGGGATGGATGGGGGATCCTTCATCTGGACTGTGCAGGACGATGGGGATTGGGGGGGAATGTGATAGGTGGGTGTGGTAGGGCGATGGCCCATCTGTCCCGTGGCGCAGGGGGGGTTGGGTTGATTTGGAATTTTGGGGTTGTTTTGATAGTGGTATTTGATAGATGGCATCGCTAGTTAAATAGATATAGGTATAGTTAGTGAGTGTGGGAGAAGAATATTATGCTATTTTGTATAATGGCAGGGTAAGGATTACAAGCGCCTGTTCTTGTGTGCAAGCGATGCTTCATTCGCCGATAACCTACTCACTAGGTTCAGCTCCCAAGGTTATATCTTTACCCTATTTGGCGGCATCATCCATTACAGGGCTACGAAACAGAAAACCGTGACTACTTCTAGCACGGAAGCTGAGCTTCTAGCTCTACAACTCACTGCTGGCGAACTCATGTGGTGGATGCGGTTCTTCAAGGCCATACACTTCGAACTCGACGAACCATTCACTATTCTCTGCGACAACCAGCAGACACTTCGACTCCTCAACCGGGAGACCCCAAAACTGGTGACCAAACTACGCCATGTCGACGTGCACCAGTCATGGTTGCGTCAAGAAGTTCAGAAGGGAACGTTCAATGAATGGGTGCCGACTAGCCAAATGCCAGCTGATGGGTTCACCAAGGAGCTCCCACGCCAAAAGCATGAAGAATTCGTGCGACAGCTTGGACTAGTGGATCTACGCTGGAAAACTACGGTCAACTTGCACATGATAGAGTCATTGCCTACAGATCCATCACTCTCACAAATTGCTTCCAATACTGATGAATCTGGAAGGGCGTGTTGGACTCGAACAGCCAGGGCGTGGTTTCCCGATTAGGCGACACAACGCCGTCGCTCCTGCATCAGCTGCATCACTATATAGCTTCAGAAGAAGAACATCCTTACGATGCTCTTCAATCAATCAATCAATCCAATACGATTCAATGCATCGATGCCCCAACAGTGACCATCCTCGGTCAACAGATCTTCCCAACAGGTCTCCCAAGCTCGTATCGCGTCTGGTCAACTTTTTTGATAATTCCCATTCTTCACGTAAAATTGGTTCCAACTCTTCATTCATTCCATGTATTTCAACTTCTGCAGCGTCTCGTTCTTTTTTTGTCTCTGGGATCCAACAATGACATGGCCCTTTCTTGTCATAAGTAAAACATCACCAAAACATAAATTCTGAGTATCCTTTCCACCGTTCCCTAATGCAACTCCGTAAAAATGCCTCGTCTGCCTTTCTCCATATCCGATAACCTCCCCGTCTATGGTTTAGTACCACAGATGTCTCGTCTGACCATATTACATTTTTTCAATCCTCCGTACGGTACATTAACTCGATATGTTTCCTTGACACGCCCCGCATCGACTTATCGTGATTGACTGTATTCCTAGCCGAGACAGCGATCTACACCTGCCACATTCGCTGCCAATCGCAAATCACCCTGCGCAATCAGCAGCTATGGCTTTCTCGTACGCCTGAAGACACAGGGATTGAGAGTGCTACTCGTAGGTGGGTAGCCACAGGAAGGAAGGTAAGGTGGCTGGCAGGGTGGCAGGGTGGCAGGGCAGCAAGGGAATCTCCCTAGCCTCGGCGTGCAAGTATGCTTTTGGAAGGAGACATCTGTCTTACCGTGCCGATCTGGCGCCAGCACGAGGCTGCTGCTGTGGTCCTCTTTATAAATCGTCGTGTGCCCGTTCGTTTGTCGGGAGGGAGAGAGAGGTAAGCACCTAGGTCCAGCAAGCTCGTTGCGTCGAGCTGCTGTCCTGGTTTACTTCTGTCTCTTCTCCTCTTCGCCTCTCCTTCCTCCAATCCCCTCACGACCAACTGCAACAATGCAGCTCTCCGCCGCTCTCACCCTTGGCCTGCTGGCCCTCCTCACCCCGGCCTCTGCTACACGCCTACGACTCGTGCCTCCGGCTGTCCCGCTCCCGCCGGCTGCTACGGCGCGCATCTCGAATTCAACGGGCAATTTCGTCTTCACGCAGCTGCTCGACCATGATCTGCCCCACGGCGACACGTTCGGACAGCACGTGTGGTGGAACTCGGAGCATTGGGGTGGTCCAGGGTCGCCGATCATCCTCTTCACGCCCGGCGAGACGGCCGCGGACGAGTATGAGGGATACCTCACCAACGCGACCCTGACGGGGAAGTTTGCTCAGGAAGTTAATGGCGCTGTGGTGATGGTTGAGCGTGCGTCGCCAATTTCCCTTCTACCTTCAATTGAGCAGCTGTAGCTAACTCCCTTCCCACAGACCGCTACTGGGGTGAATCGTCTCCCTATGCAGACCTCACGGGCCACAACCTTAAGCAGCTCACTCTTCGCAACTCCATCGCAGATTTCGTCCGCATTGCTGCTACTGCGCAACTCCCATTTGATCCCTCGCACAAATCGGACGCTGCACACGCCCCATGGATCATGATGGGTGGTTCCTACGCCGGCTCGCTCTCCGCGTGGACCGAGTCTGTATCCCCAGGCACCTTCTGGGCGTACCATTCCAGCAGTGCGCCAGTCGAGGCCATCGATGACTACTGGCAGTACTTTGTGCCTGTCGAGAAGGCGATGCCGAGAAACTGCAGCTCGGATGTGTCGAAGGCCGTGGAGTACATCGATAAGGTGTTTGCGAAGGGTTCGCAGAAGGAGCAGGTAGCATTGAAGGAGAAGTTTGGATTGGGCAAGCTGAGGAATGATGATTTCTCTAGGTGAGTCCCCCGTAGGTTGGGAAAGCCAGCAAAGGCTAATCCAACCCAGTGTCCTGGAATACGGCCCATCGCAAGAACAGTCCAACACCTTCTACACACCCCAACCCCTAACCATCTTCTGCGACTACGTCGAGGGCACCCATTCCAACAGCACCGGCGCGTCCACCAACGGCGTAGCTGGCGTTGGCGTCGCTAAGGCGCTCGAGGGCTACGCGCAGTGGGTGAAGCAGGTTTACCTCCCTGAGTCGTGCCAGGTTTACGGCTACGAGGATCCGGCGTCCATTGAGTGCTACGACACGTATAACCCGGACAACAAGCTGTTCACTGATCACACCGTCGGAAATGCAATTGATCGCCAGTGGCAGTGGATGTTGTGCAATGAGCCGTTTGGCTGGTGGCAAGGGTACGTTTTCTCCCCTACCACTCCATACATAGACTACAATCCATAAACTAACACCCCCCGAAGCGGTGCCCCCAAGAACCACAAAACCATCGTCTCCCGCAACATCAACACCGCCTACTGGCAGCGCCAATGCGAGCTCTTCTTCCCCCCCTCCCAAGGCTCCCCCAACTCCGCCTTCGGCCGCACCGTCGACGTCCCCAACCACTACACCTCCGGCTGGACCCCCCGCAAGTCCAAGCGCCTCCTCTACGTCAACGGCGAGCTGGACCCCTGGCGCACCGCTGGCGTGTCGTCTGAGTTCCGCCCTGGCGGGCCGCTGACGAGCACCGAGGAGATTCCGGTGATAATTATTCCGGGGGGGTTCCATTGCAGTGATTTGATTTTGAAGAATTATATTGATCCGGGGGTGAAGAAGGTGGTGGATAAGGAGATTGAGATTCTGAAGGGGTGGGTGGGGGAGTGGTATGAGGGGAAGCCGGGGAGGGGGGCGAAGAGGGGGGTTGAGGGGTGGGAGGGGCGGGTGTGAGGAGGTTGGAGGAGGATAGGTTGGGGTTAATATAATTTCTGACATCTGACGGCGGAGGTTGGCATGACTAGCTATGGGCTTGGCTTTGCTTGGCTTTTTTGGAGGGTATATCGCATATCGCATAGCGTCTATCACATAGCGTGTATTCATCGCAATGGCATATCAGACTGTCTACCTCTACCCCAATAGTCTGGTCGACAGCGAAGAGGTGTTCTCTTGAGGGGTTCTGTAGAAATTCGGACAACTTTGAACTGCCCTAGCAATATCTGCGCGCGTTATGACGCTAGAGTAGTTGATGGAGCCCACCTTCTGTTGATACTCATATATCTCATTCTTCGAGGCTTGTAGAGAGTTAGTCATGAGTGGAGTGGTTGGTAGTGGTGTTTTGGGCTTCGTCTGGTGCGGTTTGACGTTGTATTTTGCTACTATCTTAGAAATGTAGGCATCCTGAAGAAGCCAGACCTTTTTTGATGCTCTGTCCCGAATCACTCTAATACCAAGAAAGTGGTCGATCTCTCCAAGCTTTCTGAACTCATATCTCTTTAAAAGCTTAGCTTCAAAGACCCTCATTTTAGGAAGGTTAGCTGTACTACAAAAGAGAATGACATCGTCCACATAGAAAAGGAGAGTGAGCCAGCCATTCGTGAATAAACAGTTCACTCCCAGGACAGGCGAAAGGCCCAGATCTGCCAGAGTAGCTGTGAACTCCCTATACCAAAGAAGTGGCGAGACCTTAAGACCGTACAATGCCATGAGCAGCCAAACTGCACACCCAAAGTTTTCGAAGCCGTCTGGGCATCTGCAGAGGATAGGTGGGTCAAGTGTTGAGTTGGCGAAGGCGTTAACAGCGTCATATTGCCATACTTCAAGGTCAAAGTAGGCGGCAATGGCCATCATAAACCTAAAGGTTTGTGCAGCCAGTGTTGCTGCATACGTCTCATCCGTGGTTTCCTGTAGATCTCAGCGTGCGCAGAGTCTGGCCTTGTGCTTGATCAAGAAGCCATCAGGATCGAATTTGTATGTGAAAACCCACATAAGCGGTAGTGGTTTTTGTTCTGAGTAGCCTGAGTCGACGTACTCAAAGACTCTCTTGCGAAGGTCATCATGTTCTTTCTGCGCGGCGACCCTGAATTCTTCAGCGTGTGGATGGGCCAGCATCTCCCTCCAATTCCTTGGTGTTGTAGGAAGGTTATCCCTATGAATCTTTAGCTTGGGCATCGCCCTTCCAGCTGAGAACGCAGCGTAGAATGGTTGGAAGCTGACAATAGCCTTAGTAGGGGGCTGACTGTGCGTTGCATAGGCTGACCGTCGCGTTCTCCCGCCAGGAATGATGTTGGCTTCACTGAAATCAGAGCCATTGCGTGATGGTTGTCCTCCTTCAAGGTGATAGCTGGTTGGTACGACGAGATCTTCAGAATCTCCGTTATTAGATGCATGTAGCTGGGGCTGAACATGAATCTCTGGCAGTGGTGAGAGTGACGCTGCTAACTGGGGAGATAGCATTGACTGCGGAGATGGAGTCAATTGCGGAGACAGCAATTGGTCTTGGTTTTGGGGCTTGGAATAAGCTGGTTTTGACTTAACAGGCTTCCGTGAAGCTATAGCTCCCTGCCAGTCAACAATTATGGTATCTTCATCCTCTGGTTCTTTTTGTGATGCTGCTAGCGGATCTAGCACTTCAACGAGGTCCTCAACTGTCTCAGATTCATGGAGTTGACTCCAATCAATGTCAGCTGGGTTATACAAGGTTTCCTCATCAAAAATCACATCCCGTGTGCGTATCACACGTTCGATGCTTGGAATCCAGATTCGGAAGATGTTGGTTGAGTCGTAGCCAACAAGATAGCCAATGTGAGCTCGGGGCTGGAGTTTGTCCTTTTTTGGCACACCATGGCGCATAGCGTATGCCCTACACCCGTATCGTCGTAGGTGTCCAATTCGAGGCTTCTCCTTTCTCATGACCCCCATGGGTGTTTGCCAATTGAGCTGCTTGTGTGGTGTACGGTTGAGAATGTAGCCAGCGGCTTTGTGTACCTCTGGCCATAGGAAGTCTGGAAGACCGGCTGCAACCACCATTGTTTGTGCTTTCGTAATGATCGTACGGCCGCTGCGTTCGCTACCACCATTTTGAGCTGCGGTGTCTGGTGCTGTGCGCTCTGGGGTGATACCCTCTTCTTCGCATGCTTGATCGAAGCTTTCCTGGAGAGCTGATTCGCCATCTAGTCGTATGAAGACTACTCTGCCTTGCCATCGCTGTTTTATGAGACGTATTGCAGCCTTGATGATTCGGAGAGCGTCAGACTTCTTTTGGATGGTGTACACTAGGTTGACAAGTGTTGTTTTGCATCTGTTGTGTAGAGTGTACTCATGCCGGTTGTATCCAACCTGATTAAAAATTATATCGCATTCTACACGGAACCATGCTTCTTCAGAGTATTCCTCAACATCTGTACGTCGTGACACTTGCTTGGTCATCTTGGAAACAGCACAAGTGCTGCAGTCTATCGTCGATGGGCATGGCTCTGAGAAGTCGACTTCACAACCCATTGTTGCGTTCTGTAGATGGTCGATAACTTCACGGCCCGCATGTGCAAGGACATCATGCCAGTGAGCTGCAGTCTTCGTGCTCTGGGTTTGGGCAGTGCTCCTCTTGCTGGCGAATACAGTCGAGGGCAGCTGTATGTTGTGTTTGAGCATCCAATGGCCGTGAGAAGGCTGTAAAGTAACAAGCGTTTTTCCATTGCTGTGTAGTCGGTCAAGCTGGGAATCGAAATGCACGTTCTTCTTCTTCAACTGGCTCAGTGATATGCAGTTTGTTAGAAACCCTGGTACGTACGCTACGTTCCCAACATCCTGGCGCTCTCTCCCTGTTGGAGTCATGATTTCGATCCAGCTATTGCTGAAAGCTTCAATCTGATACTGATCTTTACCAGCGTATAGGATGTCGTCAGGCCCTGCGGATCTTGTCTTGACGAAGCGTTCTTTTCTTCAGTGATTTATCACATGGTCGGTGCAAGCAGAGTCGAGCAGTGTGCAGTCTTGTAGGAAGTCATCTGTTGAGCCAGTGAAGGAGCTTCTTATAGCCGTTGCCCATGACCCTTTCTTTTGTGGCTCTACAGCGTCGCTGGAATTGAGGTTGGATTTCGTCTTCTCTTCTTGCTCCTTTCTCCAGTTTGCAAGCTGCTTGTCGACCTGCTGCTTTACTTTGAATTTTCGAAGAGCATTTGCCACTTTGGCGGCTGTCTTCTCATTCTTTTGCCACCCTGGAGTTTGGATAGCATCATTGAGATATGGGCAATCGACGTATTGATGCTTGACACCACAAACGCAAGGCAATTGTGATGTCTGCCCTTGGTTTGGCGACGGTGATCAATCTGCGGTGATTTCGATATCGTTCAGCAAGACGTACAATGTTGGTAATTTTGAATCCATGCTCAGCATCTGTTCGAAAGCTATGCCTTGAGCAGTAGACCATGATTCGTCAACTGTATAGATTACTTGTAAGAAGTCATACAATGGGCGGTCGCCGCTCACTTCAGGCAAGCCAGCATCGCTGCATTCAGTGTAGGTGTCTTCCCACTTCTTGATCCAGGCATCACTGATTACCTCGTTCTTCCCTATCCTTTTCAACTGGGCATAGTTGTTCGACAGTTCAAGTTCGCGGGCTCGGTCGGATGGGGAAAGTCGAGCTTTCAATGCTGTGATAGTTTGCCATACGCTGTTGGCATCTTTGTAGAAAGAAACGTTGTTGTTATGAACGGTTGAGTTGATATATGCCTGGTATTTCTGTAGACATTGATGTATTTGTACGGCTTCCTTCTGGTCTTCCTTCCACATCATCATATCAATTTTGAAGATCTCCAGCTGTGTTGCGGGCACTTGGGCCCATGTTGTAGCCTCTAGGGCATAGTCGGATGGCTTTGGCTGAGAAGGAATCGCCCGTATGGCTGGTTCTTCATCGAGTTTTGGATCTATGTATTGCCATACGTCGGTAGGCAAGCTCTTGGCATACAGCTTGACGTTCTGCAGCCATTTGAACCAGTCTTTGGAGTGCAGAATCACGATCTGCTTGGATTGGGCCTGTTCGGCCATTTGTACGGTTGTGCAGCAGGTTCCAGATTGGACCGTATCGCTGGCTTTGATGGGCGGCAGGCAGCGATATGCCCTTGGTTTGTCCAGTAAGGGCTTATGGTGCCTTCTGGAACTGGTTGGTTTGTAGAGGACTGGCTGCCCTTCTACGAGGTTGATTCGTTCTTCGATTCGGTCTGAACAGGAGGTGAATCACCGAGTGAATCATATGCGGATGCTATGCCGGGCTCATAACTGTTGACCGAGGATGGTCACTGTTGGGGTATCAATGCATTGAATCGTATTGGATTGATTGATTGATTGAAGAGCATCGTAAGGATGTTCTTCTTCTGAAGCTATATAGTGATGCAGCTGATGCAGGAGCGACGGCGTTGTGTCGCCTAATCGGGAAACCACGCCCTGGCTGTTCGAGTCCAACAAGATCTCCCTCAGTCACAAATCCAAGCCTGGGTCGAGAAATTCACATGACTGTTATTTGCCTTATGTAATCCACCCTTCTAGTGTCCCTTGAACACTCTGATTTACCAATTGAAGCTTTAGATGCCTTTCATAGCGTTCAAATGAACGTAGAAACGCCGTTGTTTCTGTCATCACTATGCTACTATTCCCAGATTCTATGAACTCAATTAAGGTTTGAACAGCCTCTAAGGCAGTCTGTGGTGTAAGCACAGGCGGCTGCATAAGTAGCTCATTCTCTTCCTCAACATCTTAAGGTTTAGAATTTGGGATATATTGTGAAATTACCTCCTCTAACTCTTCCTCTGCCTCTTGTATGTCCTCCTCTACTGGATTTAGAAAGTTCGAGATATCCATTGCATCATAAATAAGGCCAGCTTGTTGTACTTGTTGATAAAGGTGATCTATATTTGGAAGTGGGTGGATTGGAAGCTAAATTGGCTGCTGTAGAATTG